TCGCGAATGGGTGAAGGACCGCAGCTCCTTCAAGGCGTCCATCTTCAACCAACGCCGGTATTTAATCGACGACCTTGTGGTTGGCGACTACGGTGGGGATTGCAGTGCAGTTGCGGTTTCACAGGGCGCCACCTGCCGCTGCAACCAGGGCGGCCACACGGTGTACATGAAGCGGTTTGTGGAGGGCTACCGTGCAGAGCTTCAGACTGATGACGCGTTCACAGCTGGGCAGCGCCGCTGCGGTGCCAACGGTACACTGTTGTATGCACCTTTGGATGGATTGCTTGCCGTCATGCAGGATAATGAACATGCTCAATTGGCTGTTAGCAGTGTGTTGGGAGGTGCAAAAGCCGCCATTGCTTCGCAGGAGCATGATGCGCCGGGTATGGTGACGTTACGTGTGCTAAATACATCCATAGCTGGGGCACATGACGCTCTAGTGGCAGAGCACAATGAGCGTCGGGTCCATTTTGTGGGTGGGGTTGTGACGGAGGCGATGCTGGGCGTGGGGAGTGTGGCCTTCATCGACCCGCTGCAGCTCGAGCCGCGGCTGAACAGGTTCCGTCGGCACGTGCTCCACCTGTCGCCGACGCTGGAGCAGCAGTTCTTCGTGCTTGCGGAGTACCTCGGAGACACGGGTGTCCGCGAGGCGCACGCGGTGGTCCGCGGCGAGGAGGCGGCGGCGGTGGCGGAGGTGCTGCGGCGGTCGCTGGTGACGTTTGGCGGGTCGCTGCGGTCCGCGACGCTGCTGGCCGGCGGCGACGCGCTGGCGGAGAACCTTCCGGAGGCGGGCGACGTGTTCGTGGCGGGCCTTGCGGCCGGCGACGTCGCTGCGGTGGCGCGGCACGTGGCGTTGCACGACGGCGTGCGCGTGTTCGTCGCGTTCTCCGAGTTTGCGCTGCTGCACGCCGACTTCGCCGCCGCGTTCGGTGGCGGTGCAGGTGGCGCCGACCGCGTTGTGTTTGCGACGAGCCTGCCGCACTGGGACGACGCGAACCCGACGTCGGAGACCGCCCGGGAGTTCCTCGCCGCTGTGCCCAACGCCACGCAACGGACGCCGCTGGCGCTGATGGGCTTCGCCGCCACGCAGCTGCTGCGGACGGTTGTCTCCCGCATGGACAAGGTGAGCGCTGCGCTGCTGACTGACTTCTTCTACACGAACGTCGCCATCACCGTGAAGGACATGCTGTACGGCTCCTTCGTTAACGGCACGGCGTGTGGTGCGGCTGTGGCCGGTGGTGCTGGGTGCGGCAAGAACTACGGGGCGACGCTCATTTCTGTGTGGTCGCTTGCCCGTGCGCTGGACCCCGCCGTGCCCGTGCTGTTCCCCGCCGTGACCCCGACGATGGAGTACGCGGAGCCCGTTGCGCGCGGACTGACGGAGCCGCAGCTGATCGGCACCATCGTCGGCAGCGTCGTTGGCGGCCTGTTGCTTGTGGCCGTGGCGGCTCTGCTGCTGCGCTTCTGCCGCGGCTCACGCGACAACGCGAATGCGCCGAAGGAGCCGACGGACCCCGTGACGCTCGTGTTCACCGACATCGAGAGCAGCACGGCGCTGTGGGCTGCGTGCTCGGAGTTGATGCCCGACACCGTGGCGACGCACCACCGCCTGATCCGCGCGTTGATCGCGAAGTACCGCTGCTACGAGGTGAAGACGGTCGGCGACTCGTTCATGATTGCGTGCAAGAGCGTGTTCGCGGCGGTGCAGCTGGTGCGGGAGCTGCAGCAGGTGTTCCTGCAGCACGACTGGGAGACGGGCGCGCTCGACGAGGCCTACCACAAGTTTGAGGAGGGCAGGGCGGAGGAGGACGCGGAGGAGTACGTGCCGCCGACGGCGCGCCTGGACGCCGCGGTGTACCGGCAGTACTGGAACGGCCTGCGGGTGCGTGTCGGGGTGCACACCGGGCTGTGCGACATCCGGCGCGACGAGGTGACGAAGGGGTACGA